CGATCCTCCGCCCGCAGTGAAAACTAAACAGGAACCTGAAGACATTTTGGACATTGAACATGACTATTCATCTACTGAAAGAAAAAAGACATGTAAGGACAAGATATAATTTATTTGTATGGAAAATCAGTAATAATTTTGACAATCAAATGTATGAACAGTTACGATTATGGACGTTACAGAAGAAATACTTAGATCAGACTATAACAGGATGCAATTCTTAAGTATGGATTTTAGGATATTAAACATTTTTAGATTGACATCAATATTTTATAAACTCTTATGGTTGACGTCACTTTATTTTACAAAAAGTTAGGTATGTACGACGGGCTCATTGTATATTAGCGGCTAGACAAGTGAGCATGATTGCCTGGACTTTTATAAAATAATATCATCATTAATGCTCTTTTTGGAAGACAAATTTATATGGCTTTATTCCATAAATGCAAATCGGTCGACCTGCAAATCTTTTCCTTACATTATGTATTATAATGTAGTTAAAATGTTAACTTTATTTTTCTCATTATTTACTCAGGCCAAAGAAGAGATTCAGAAAAGAGAAAGAAAGAATTCATAGTAGTTCAAAGCGACCTGTGGGACACTAATACTTTCCAATATACTTGTCAGAAAACACCTCCAAGTAAGTAAATATATATGAAAATAATATGTTTAATCCTAAACCACCAATGTCAAAGAAAGTGCCAAAAAAAGTATATCATAAGACGGTAAATAAATACTTTGATAATAATTATAATTCCTTAATAAATTTATTTCAGGCCATCCTCATACACCAATGCAGAGGAGCGTCTCTGAGAAAAGTAGACAACAATCTTCGCCACATCATCACAGGTATAAAAAAGCAGTCTTCAGACCATAACAACTAGTTTAATAACATCTTTTATACTCCAAGATATTCATGTGCCAAAATAATTAATTAACCATGTGACACTATGAAAAATAAAATACAAAATATTGGCCCTTCAACATTTGTGGTAGTTACAAATGCCAAAGAAATTATATCTAGAATTAAATTTTAAACTAGAACTATGATATAATATTAATATTTACATCTCGTCTCGTGTTTACGGTTGCTGCAAAGTAACCGAAACCTCGGGTATACATATGTATGTAGTTAAGTTAATAATAAACACTTAATAAATCCGAAAAATATTAGTTTCAATGAATACTCTCGAAAACCTTAGATCTTATTATTTGATATAATATTATTTGGTAAATGATTTTAACAACATGTTTGGAATAATTAACTTTCAGGGAACCAGAAAGCCGAAGTACCGAGCGTAGAGCTTCAAACGCGTCTATTAACCATGGTAGGACTAAAATTATCATTTTTCTTCATATAACAAACTAACTTGGGTCATAAATGACTGATTGTTATTATTTCTTTTCATACAGTTGGTGCTCCAAGAGTTGGAACCCCAGAGGGATATAGAGAGGCAGAAACACTTCGCATGACCGACCGCATGTCTAAAGTATGGAATACTTATAATAAACTAAACTTAAAAGTAACGTATTAAACATTTGTTAACTGTTTCAGAGACGTGGTTCTGAATTTCCACAACCGGTGAGCACACCACCTCATCAAATACAGTCGAAAAGAAGGCAATCAGCAGCCGTGGTATGACTTTGAAATAATATTTTTAGCATTCTCATTGAAAGACTTTTATATAAACAATATCTTTTAGGTGAGATCGTACCAGGAAGAGAGAGCCGATAAAAATGAGATACAAAGGATACTTAACGATATCCCAAAAGATATAATAGAAGCAATTCCACCTCCTGAACCTGTGGACATTCCGGATAGGAAACCAGATCCCGACATAATACGAGTGTCCAAAAAGCCTGAATCTCCTGTTAAAAGAATCCAAGACCCGGATACGATAAGGGTCACTAAAGGTCAGGATTCGCCCTCAAGGAGACTGAGGCAGGAGGCGGAACCATTGAAGAGAGCGAAAGGTGCTGGCGACTCACCGAGACTAACACAGGCAGCACAGACGAGACCCGACCATCACAAGAGCAGCCCTAACGTTGCTTCAAGACATAAAGCTGGTAAGTGGATGAAGAATAGGTCTAATGGTCTTCGGAGATAGAATTTTGTTATTAAAGTAATTAGAGATTCAGACAGATGTTATAGTTACATATTTCTTAGGTTCTTCTAATATTAATCATTGTCAACAAAAAATCTATTGAACAGGTCTTAATCATCAAAATTTTCTGAACAATATCTCTATTGCAGTTCAGTCCATATGATATCTTTATATATGAATTCTGTTCCAGAATCACCAAAATCAAGAGAAGAGCGTAAATCCGCGACCTACTCCCGGTCAGATTCCAAACGTCAGGAATCAGCGGAACGCAAGATGTATACAGCGAGTTCAGAATCTGAACTGTTCGAGTGTGCCATTTTACCAATCTTCCACAAACTACTGACCGAACGACACAAGAGCCAACCACACGGCCTCAATCTCACGTACGGCGTCAGCTGTCCTAACATCTCAATTAAATGCGATATTGTTGAATATTTATAAATAAATACCCTTCAAAACAAACACCTAAAACTGAACACCATTTATATTCGGTACTGAATCTCTTAGAATTTTGTAGGATAATTGATACTTTTGATTTACGATGATCGAATTTTTCCTATAGAATTCTGTTCAAAACATTTACATTAAAATTAAGTACGATAGTTATTATTAGGTACGTATATGAGCTTGGTTCACACACCGGCTAGAATTTATGCTAAAATCAATTATGTACATAAATTATATGAATAAGTATTAAAGGGTAGAATTAGATTTAAATTGTATGGTAATAGCGCTACCTGTACCACGGTCTAAAATGCAACGTTTCAATATTATAGTGTTCTTGTTACAAATAGTTAAAATCTTTGTACTTTAAGTTGTTTTTCTAAGACACATTTTTATTAATGGCAACATTTGAATTAAAAGATAGCTTCAATTGTTTACTTATTTAGATAATTATAATTACGAGAGTTTTTTTTTTATTTTTACACCACTTACTGTTTCAAAAGATGTAAATTTCAAATAATAATACATAAATAAGTTATCCAATGAAATTTTTTTGTTATATAAATGTTCTAGTTAGTAAGTTTTAAAGTTTTTCAAAAGGATTTAGGATATTAAGTATAAATAAGTAAAAAAATTACAAGTTCGTTTACGGGTATTTTGAAGTTACCACAATATAATTAATAGTGAAATATTCTAAACTAATAATAAAAGTCATCTTCAGTAGTCGTAGTTAGTTAAGTGATACACAAAATATTTGTTTTTATATATTATAAGTAGTATTATTATAATCTATAATTACTTATTTGTATATTTTCGACTTACGCTCACTATTACTGTAAATTATGTTATGTATTCAAATTCTCCTATACTTGGTGTTGTGTTGAGTATCTGTAAGTCCTATGTATAAAACTATTAAAATTTAGTATTTTTACTATTTAACTTTTATTTAATGCACATAATGAAGACTTGATAGAAAATATTTGACTTAATTTAAGATTATTAATAAAATATTTGAAAATGTCATTTATTGTTTTTTACTTCCATTTATTGAAATGAATATTGAATATATAAAAAGCTTTAGAAGAAAAATACAATTCTTCGTTTCCAGTCGGGCATTGAGGAATAATAGCTTTAAATAAACATTTTTATGCTTTTTTGGTATTAGTTCCTTGTTATTGAATCTGAGAGCGATTTCTTCACTGTCCCGCATTTAGTTAGTTAGACACTCTAAAAAGGTTGTTCGCCAACTGTGTATAATCCCAGACTGTATTAATTATGTCGGTTGGAAACGAGATGAGAGAACCTGATGGTGCTCTTAAGAGGAAGGTTTCCAGAGTCCCCGCTTTCTCCAGATCAAAATCAAGTCAAAATCAAAACATCTTAAAGCTGGTGATGATTTTTGGGACAAACAACTGCCATCCGTATAGAGTGGCTTTTTCGTCTACGTAAAAAACCACTCTGGAAAAGTCAGCGGAATTTCACTTTGGTGCTAAGAAGAAACTACAAAAGTGCCAGATGATAAAATTGAAAAACGAAGCATTCGTAGTTTTTCTTTAGGTTGATGCTGAGAACTGTAAAATTTATTTGCAAAAAGAGAGTCTTAACAATCCACTTAATCCTACAAACGGGCTTAAATAAGCCTTGTTCTGGTTAATATTATAGACATTTTGCCGAAACGTGTACATTTGAGTTGTCTCTTGTTCTGTAACGATTATTTTGCCTGTCTTTAATTACCTGTACAGTGCCAAAAATTTGGAAGTTGAATCTAAAGGAAGTCCTGGAGGTCTTCCTAACTATCATCCGATTCCCATATATATTTATTGAATGGTACGTTGATTTATCATTTCTATTCATCCTAATAATACATTCCCCACATTTATGGAGAGTTCTAGAAAAGAACGTTGAAATCCTAGCTTTCTCAACTGAAATTTCGAAAACTTAGACAGAGTATATCACGGTTATCTTGATAAGCATTCTAACTATGGAATAGTCCCTGGTCCGAATGTCTCGAAAGAACAACAGTCAAGTTACATAAAGTCGAAATTTTAAAAAATTACTTATTGCATGATAAAAATACCTATTTACGTTTTCATCCCGAAATCACGTCGCAAAATTATATTCTAATCGAAATTTATATAGAATAATTCAGATTTAGTAAGGAAAACTTGAACAATATTAATTCTTATATTATCAAAAGTTTTAGTTGTTATGGCAACCCTACTTGCTGCTGTCGACTCGGCGTTATATCTGACGTATGTCAGAACAAGTCATCTGGCAATTGAATAGGTATAAGAAATAGTTTTTTTACAATTGACATTTGAGTTTTGACACAGTATTTTTCTGTACTCCAAACAGTTTGGTTGTGTTTCATTTATTTTTATTTAGTAATTAATTACGTGCGTCGTGTTGTGTTTTATTTCTAATGTTATTCAATAACTGACACCGTTTAAAATGCCTGTTTTCCATACAAAGATCATAGAGAGCATCCTTGAGCCGGTGGCTCAACAGGTGAGTAATGCCTTAACTATTTTTAGAAGTTCCAACTGTCGATCTCGTTCCAATTTACCATGTAAACCAATATTACGTGCTTTCTCACTCGAATTCACTCTTAATTTCACTTAATATACTTGTAAGAAAAATAACAACATTCAAAAAAGGCAGTCTTAATTCCAATCGGAACGCGTCGACGTAATTTTGTTTCGGACTGAGTATGAATTTAAACACTTTAGTATTTTTTTGTTGTTTTACTTTTGTTATCCTTATTAATATATCAGAACGTGTATAATATTTAGTTCAGTGTCAAACCCAAGCTGTAGGTGTAGAATGTTGTTTACTTTACATTACAACAAAGATTATGTCATCGCATTAATTATCTCGAGGCAGGCGCCAAAATACCTATATTTGAAGTTTACCTCATTTTAACATTTTTAAATACTGCAAAGTTTTAAATTGAGAATTATGTTACATTATCACCTCATATAGTATAAATCTAAAATTACGAAATTAAGTATCACTAATAACAAAAAGAATTATTCTTCAATAATATAGATATTAAATTATTGAAATCTAAATATCCTAATATTTGAATATTATATTGATTTTTAATTATGATTTATAAGAAACTTATTACCTTATATTTCAACGAAACAATACAAATCAACATTTTATATGAGCTAAGTGCAGTGCAATATTAAATATTCACAAGTCCCGATATCTATTTAAAGATGTTAGTTCAATGACATCAGTACTTCGCTTACAGTATTAAGTGTAAATCTGATTCTCTACTTGACTTGATGTTTTATTAATGACCATGAAGGTTTATTATATATTTACTAAAAGAAGTTTTTATATAAAAAGAAATTTATATTTTTTTCATGATTTTATTTCCATATTAGAAGAATATGGTACCTTTTTTGTGTTTATAATTATATTAGGTGCATATTTCTCACAGTTACTACATTTAACCAATTTTAGTGAATATTATAATGAAAATAGATACAAACTTACACATATAGGCTTAATCTGCATCCATGTGGATAAAGCTAAATGTAAACGCTAGTCCAAAATAAATTCAAGATAAATGATTATATAGTGTTAATGCATGTTAGATAGAGGGCCCATACACACATACACCTGGGTTGCAACTCTGAGGCACTGTTGAAGCTCCTCTCCTGATAACATTTTAAAATATTGGCAAAGTGTAATTTACTATATTACTTTTCTTGCAACATAGGCAATCTCTTCGCAATTTCTTTGTTAACAATAGCCACTCTGTGTATTGTTAAAACAATAAAGGATTTTCTTATGATACCAATAAGTGTTATAATATTAAAATAAGTCTTTATATATAATAAAAATTATACTCATATTTTAAGAATATGTACCGATGAACCCAAATGCATTTAATTCAAGTACACTAACCAAGTGTTTTTAAACCGCTTTTTATCGTTTGTTTTTTCATATACTTGCGTTTTTGCTTCAAAACTATCATGTAAAAATGAATGAAGGATACAAGTCATTGTTCAGTTTTACCCAAACAAGTAGTATAAAGTATGAACAAATAATTTAAGAATTCAGTAACAAAGCAGTAGAGAAAGTATTACGAGTGTGTTATTGAAAGAGATGGCTTTATGTCTGGCCCGGAAATTATCGCAGCTGTACGCCGGCGAAGACTTACAACGAACAATCCTTTACTTGTACATGAATGTATGTTACAAGTGGCGCCATCACTGCCGTACTAATTATAATGCCTACTAATCCCTACTAATATTATAAATGCGAAAGTAACTCTGTCTGTCTGTCTGTCTGTCTGTCTGTCTGCTACGCTTTCACGCCTAAACCACTGAACTGATTTTAATGAAATTTGGTACAGAGATAGAGTGTACCTTGAAAAAGAATATAGCATAGTTTTTATCCCAGACTTTTGAAAGGTTCTCTTGGAAACGCGATATAACTTAACTCTACTCGGGCGAAGCTGTGGACGGAAAGCTAGTATACTATAATCGTTACAGTTATTTTTATGAATGATTATAATTAATTATAATACTGAACTATTCTTATTTTGTATGCAACATTTAAGTATCATGTATTTGACTATAAATACTGGCGTCAGACATTTTGTAGGAGTACTGAAAGTAACTTTGAAAATTGAAAAACAAATCTGAAACTGTACCTCGAAATGAGCATCAATACATATATGTATAACACTTAAAGTTCAATACAAGATTGTAATTAATTCAATATTTTGAAGTCTTTATTACAATTGAAATGTCACGATGCTTGACGCTTGATGACAATTCAACATTGAGAAATCTTGACGAATGACGCATTATTAGTGATGTTTATTTCAAATAATTTAACGTTAAAATAATATAATTAAATAAATGCCTTTATTCCGTTCAACAAATTCCATCGTGTTTCCTCCACACAGTAGGTACTCAAGATAATAATTGGTCAAACAAATAAAAAAGTTGACATTTGCAAAATTTTAAACGACTCCAATGTGAATGAAGACTTAGCTTAAAAAAGTATCATTATTTAACTTATTTTTATACATTTTATATACAAAATACGTGTAAATCTATTCTATAAACTTGACTCTGATAACTCACCGTTCATTCTTTACTCGATTCGAAAAAGCGATACAATATTTTCTTGCCATCGATTTGTATTATTTTAAAACATATGTATATACGAATAAAAACAAAATTCGTCTTATTTATTTTAAGTTTTTTTTTATATTCATAATGGTTTCAATATCTTAAAGTAAGAATTTCAAAAGTTGACCTCAGTGGCGATAATTTTTATTTAAGAGAATTACATTTTTTTATCTATTTTGATCTAAAAATATATTAAAAATATTTGATATACAAATGAGTCGAGCTAGTTTTTATTTGTAGACTTTGGACTTAAGCTTTTAATCTCTCGACATAAGTGTTTCCATAGTTAACAGAAAACGAATTACCAGAAAAAATAATTATACATAATATATTAATAAATTATATTCTCTGTTTTATGTATAATTTCTTTTTACATACATTTAAATCATATTATATTATTTTTACTTCAGTATCCATATACTCTTAGTGTGATTTTTGTTCTACTTAAATACCAACAGTGGACTTTACTCTTTCGTTTTTTTCTAATAAAATACGATGAAACTATTCGAGTTGAGTTAAACGTTAAAACTCGTAGTAGGTAAAATATGTTATATATAACATTAGTATTACGTAATGAACTCAGCTTCCAAGTCGCGGTAATTATGACAAAAACAAAAGCCAACATCCGCTTATGCAACCATATCTATTATTAATGTTAGTTTAACTCAAAGAAAATTATGGGAAAACTATATAAATATACATATGTATATTAAATTTTCTTTAAGTTTCGATAGATAACAAATTAATGACGAAAACACGCAAATTCCTACAATATGTAAACATAACGAAACTTTTTTGTCGTCACTATCATGAGTATCAAGATATTGGCTTCTTTGTATATAAAAAAAGACAAAACTTTCCAATTAAGAATCGATATGTCAATTACTTTTGTATGAATTATGCTATTGTGCTTACAAATCTGTATTAGCTTCTAACACATCCCTAATAATATTATAAATGCGAAAGGAACTCTGTCTGTCTATCTGTTTGTTACGCTTTCACGCCTTAACCACTGAACTGATTTTAATGAAATTTGGTACAGAGATAAAGTTGACCTTGAAAAAGAACATAGGATAGTTTTTATCCCAGACTTTTGAAAGGTTCTTTTAGAAACTCCACCTACTCGACGCGGGCGAAGTTGCGGGCGGAAAGCTAGTTACATATAAAACAATTAAATGACAACTCGATACGTAATTGGATTCGTAAACAAACAAGTATGATATTTTGTGAATCAAACATATAATGTTAACAAATTGTAACAATAACATGTTATATTTAAGGCGTGAGTCAACGCTCGCCCGCCATTTTGCGAGCGTCCAGTGGAGCCCGAATTTAAAAATGGAATCGTAAACTTTCGTAACCTCTTTCGATGCTTTAACATAGCGTAAGGTTAAAATAATACTGCTTGTATCTATAGGTAATATATAAATCATTAATAATTTAGTAAAAAATAATAATATTGTTGCTTTTACATTCAATTCAAGTAATTTAGAATATATTATACTTATATTAATATGTAGTTTAGTTTCAATATAATTTTGTTTACAAAATGACTGACCAAAACTAAATTTTGAACAGAAATTACTTGTCGGTACAAAACTCATTCTTTATATTTAGCTATACTTTTGAAACGCTAAATGTGTGTGTGTGTGTGTGTGTGTGTGTGTGTGTGTGTGCGTGTGTCAACACTTCGAAGGAGGTATTTTAATTTTCTTTATCAAATCCTACATGACCTAAAAGCGGTGGTCACAGGTTTAAACCGGTTTGAGTCTCAGCTGTAGACCTAGTTATCTAGACTGGACATCAGCTCTGGATGCAATTATGCTGATGACTAACCGGTTTATACCAACGGGATAGGGATAAGAATAGAAATTAATCAGACACATGCATGCGGCAGATTAAATGAATTAATGGCACTTGGTATATAAGGGTTTCTCAATACTATATCAGGTTAAAACTCATATTATACCTACTAATATTATAAATGCGAAAGTAACTCTGTTTGTTACGCTTTTACGCCTAAACCTCTGAAATGATTTTAATGAAATTTGGTACAGAGATGTAGTTGACCTTGAGAAAGAACATAGGATAGTTTTTATCCCCGACTTTTGAAAGGTTCTCTTGGAAACGCGTTATAACCGAACTCCACGCGGGCGAAGCTGCGGGCGGAAAGCTAGTATTAAATAAAATATCAATGGCTTCTATGTATAAGGTCCAATGTGCAAAAACAATTTTTCAGTTGAGATGTTTTAAGTTTGATTTCAATGTATCTTGTACAGACAACTGATGCTTTTGAAATTTTGCATAGCAACTATGACATATGTATGTCATTTAAGATTGATAAACTTT